CGTGGGGCCATCAAAGCCCTCAGGCCCAGACACGGAAGGTTGAAATTTGGGTACATTCCAAATCCTCTCTAGATCAACTGTCTGCAGGATCATTCTCTCACTCTGGGTGCTCATGAACTTCTGCACAGTTCCCAGCTCAGAGCCGAGCTGGCTCAGTGCTTTTGCCATGTCTGAATGTTAGACAGTTCCCCTTTCCGGGGGGAAAACACACAGTGTCAGGACAGATGGGCAGCTCTATAGACTGATCACTGAGCCATGGTGCTTTTCTGTCTCTGCACAGGGCTGCAAGCACAACAGTTATGAAGATGCCAAGGCCTATGGGTTTAAGAACAAATTGATTATAGTTTCAGCAGAGACTGCTGGGAACGGCCTGTATAATTTCATCGTCCCTCTCCGTGCATACTATAGGTCCCGGAAAGAGTTAAACCCAATTGTATTGCTACTGGACAACAAGCAAGTACTCTTCCAAAGTTGTTTTCCATTGCATCCGATCTTTCCTTGCATTCAAATGGGTGTTTCATACTGTGTATATATGGGAGGTTTTAGCATTTTTAATATAATACCTAAAATCTAGTGTATCTGATGGCCTGATTCTCCTGTCACTCTGTTTTTCACCATTGACTTATGTGCATTCACTCCTGATTTATACTAGTAAGCAAGAGGAAAAGAAAATGCCCCTATGAACCTTCTTGCTGTTTGCCTCTCTTCTTCCAGGCCTGAGAACCACTTCTTGGAAGCCATCTGTTGTTTCCCCATGGTTTACTACATGGAAGGCACGATCGATAAGTAGGTGTCTTGTTTACAACTATCGTTATTTACAATGTGTTGCAAATCAAGGGAGAAAATAGCCCTGATTCTCCAGAGGAAAATTAAATAAGCAAAGTGATGCTATACGGCCAGTACCAGGCATACAGAATCACTGGCAACAAGGACCAGTATTTACCATAGCGACTGAAAGAATAATCAGCTTCACATGCAGGCTTATAAAGCCTAATCAATGGCGCGTAGCTCCTCCCATCCTACTTAGCTGATCCTCACGTTATAGGCGAGGACAGCAGCAGTGAAGTTCGTATTCAGAGCTGAACTTCCCCAGGGCTTCAGGGAAATTCGGAGATGGTCTTCTCCATCTCTACTTCCAAGACTAGCCCCACTTTTCTGTCCATGAGTCCGGGTAGTTATATGGACTCCCATCACTGTAGTATTGGAGCACAACCATCTAGAATTAGGTTAGGCTCTTTCTTCCCTAGCAGACATATCATACATTTGATTTCTTGGGTTCTCTAACTGGCACAGCTAAAGTTGGGAGAGGGTCGCATTTTAAGACCCTGCCACTGTACAATAGTTTGGGCTTCATCTCAAATTTTTCCCTCTCCTAGGATTTGTTAGTCTGCACTGGACATGGTTATGGTTATTTCAAAAGACTTTTGCATGCACAGGATTGCCTGGGCATTTGTTCTGTGCAAAGACATGGGTATGTTTGCAAACTATCATTCAGCATCTTATTTTCCAATGGATTAACCCTCCCACAACCTTTTGTCTTGGGGGATTGTTCCAGCCTCGACAGTTTGCTGCAGTGTGGGATCATTTATGCTGACAACTTGGTGGTTGTGGATAAGGAAAGCACAATGAGCGCAGAAGAGGATTACATGGCAGACGCAAAAACAATTGTCAACGTCCAGACCATGTTCCGGTAAGAAGCAGCTCTGGGTTCTGCTGTCATTTGCGCCTGCCTCTCTTCTTATAGTATTTTATTTGTCTTACTGGAAATAAAAGACTGAGAATGGCCCCAGGCAGAGGGTGCGAGCTATCCGATGGGAGGTGCCTATATTAGCTGGCCCTTTCTGCAATGAGTTGAACTGTCCTTGGTGTGAGAGGGGATTCTGCACACCGAGGTTTTGCAGGGTCAGGCATCTATAGCAGATATGAGGTCTGGGTTCCCGGGGTGGGCTCCTGTGTTCGACACGGCCTGCAGCTGGCCCTTGCACGCAGGCGTGCTAGTTAATAAGGAGAGTCCCTCACTCTGTCCCCAGCTTTGCGCATCGCCAGCCACGCTGTCGGTGTGCACCTAGCATCACTCCAGTTAATAGAGAGAATTGAAAGGGGGGTCAGTGAGGTGGTATTGGGGCCGGCCTTGCTTGTACAGCTTGTGGTGCTCTAGCCCCAGCCTGTTTCGGATCTTGGATGGGGCACAAGGCCGTTTCCACTCTTTATTTGGCCACATTTCAAAGCTGAAAGTTTCCTCCTCTCCGCCTCTCTTGGAATGCGCGAGCATCAGATGTTGACGAGTCTGCCTTCCATTGCAGGCTGTTTCCAAGCCTTAGCATCATCACCGAGCTGACCCACCCATCCAATATGAGGTTCATGCAGTTCAGAGCAAAGGACAGTTATTCCTTGGCCCTCTCCAAACTTGAAAAGGTAAGGAAGACCCTTCGCCACGGGGAGGGTCTCTGCTTTTCCTCCCAGACGTGTTTGCTAACAGGGAGCCTGGTGAGTTCCCTGCATGCCTGTGTTTGAAGGAAGGGTTCTGTAATGAGTCATTAATTTACAGTTCTTCATAGTCCTGCGCTCTCCTGCTGTGCACTGCAGGCACCACAGTTAATGAACATCCACCCAGGATAATCTGAGACACGCAAATATGCAGGCAATTGACCTTGTGGGTCTCTGCGTTTCCTTAGTTAGTGCGACTAGCATCGGCACTCTTCAAAGCTGTCCCTGCTGTGAGTCTGATTTTAGTTACTCGGTACAATGCTCCCGCTGCGGTGGTGGGTTAAATAATTCTGCGAGAAGAGACTTCTGCATCAAATTACATTCAATGTTTATATTACATGTTGCTTAGGCATTTTTGTGGGGTAGAAATAACAGTTGATGGGAAGGGGAAACATTCAAGGAATAACTGAACCAGACCGTGTGAGTGTCTGAGATGCGGCATTGACAGCCGTAACAAATGAAAGCACTCATACTTTGTCACGGTCGTCTGCTGAGCGTGTGCCAGTCAAAACCAGGACAGTTGGCATCTCTGATACTACTGCCCGGTCTCAGTGCCCTCTCTTGAGGGGAAGGTAAAAGATTTTCATTTCTTTCACCCTCACACACACACGCACACGTATGTTGTACTGCATTCATGGTGTTGTGTATTAAGGGTGGTTGAACCAATTCAGAGAGAATCAAAACCAGCATAAACTCAGTGTTGAACTATATTCCCCCTCCCCCGCATCTCTCTCTGTTTTTTCCTAACTGCCTCATAATGACCGGTCTCTGAGGGCAATCTCTGAATTGAAAGGCTCTAGGGGCTGGGCATAAAGATCTGTCATAGATAAGCTGCCCTGTTGGACCTTGCTGTCATTGTGGCTGATAGAGCATCCATCCAGTTACTTTTTTTCCCCTCACGGTTCTGACCCATTTATTGGACACAGGCAGGTGCAGGCCGGCGCCGTTAGTTCTTGTAGCCCTGGCTGGCGCGGCGGCCCCGGGCCCGCTCGAACTTCTGTCCCTTGGAGCTCACGTAGGGCTTGGTGTGACTGTGGGTGCCGGGGGCCTTGCCGAAGTGCTGGTACACCTTGCGTCCCTTCCTGGGCCCCGAGAGCAGCACGGTGCCCTGGCCCTTGGGGGCTGCCATGGCCAGTTGGTCAAAGGTCATGATCTTGACCCCCTGCCTTCAGGATGCGACTGCGGGCCATCCAGCTACTATTGGGCAGATTCTCCATCAGAGAAGAGACCTAACGCTCTGCAAATGAGCACCAATGTTACAAATATGGCACAGGGATCAGAGAGGATAGGACAAGTGGGCAGGGGCTCCATGTGTATCCTGAACTTCAAGAGAAACAGAAACACCCAAAGTTCTGTAATGGACCAAGACGCCAAAGGAAGCTAATGGATTCTCCATCACAGGAGAACCAGCTGAATCAATCAGACGTCAGTGGTGGCGTAAGTGCGAGGCTGGCTTTACTGGGTGAGGTCGCCATCTTGGTAGGATGCAGCTACGTCAGCAATGAATGTGCTGTCACCAGGCTGCTGTGAAACATGCCATGTTGAGAAGGAGGATTGTCTTATAGCTAAGATGCTGGAGACCAGAGTTGGATTCCCAGCTCTGCTCTGGCCTCCCCATGTGACCTTAGGCAAGTCCCTTAGCCTCTCTGTGCTTCAGTTTCTCATGGAGACAATAGCTCTGGCTTGTCTATTAGACTATAAGCTCTTTGGGGCAGACACTTACTCTGTGTCTGTGCAGCCTCTAGGCTGGTGGGGGTCTAGCGACATTACAGCAGTACAAATCATAAGTATCAGGAACTTCCATTGACTTTTCTTCTTTTAAAATAACAAATGGCTACAATGACATTTCTATTAATCTCATGGCAGGTAGACCCTGGACGTGAGGTACTCTGCAGTCTCTCAGGAAAGCTGTTAAATGCAATAATGTTTTGATCCCCAGAGTTCCCTGTGATGAAATGAGAAGCTTCATTCTCTCCTATCCACAGCCTTGCCTGACCATTATTACACTCTGCATACAAGGCTCCCTCTTTGACCACTTGAGGACAGCTGAGATTCGATAGCGGCTTTTATTAATTCTGAGCTGCACTCAGAGCCTGTTGCCAGGGGATCCAGGAATAGTCTTAAGATCTGAGGTTTGGTGTTAATAATTATCTGAATGGCCCCAGTGTTAAGAGAGAGAAATTTGTCACCCAGTGCTAGAATTTGCCACCCAGGGAGTAAAAGATAATTATTAAGTTAACACAGTTTCAGGATAGCCATGTCTGCAAATGCCAGAGCTGGGCCCTTGTCTGTCTGTACTATGGTATTCAGCAGGGGGTGTATGATGGATGGGTGTTAGACAGTTAGAAAATACAGCTGCTGTTGCCTTCAAAGGGAAATTTGATCTGAGATGCTGAATGCATCGGGCTAGAAAGGCAGATCTAATGACTGCATTTGTACATACTGCAAACCTATATTGCTTAAGGGAAAAATCTCTCTCCCAGCCCTCCCCTGCACCCCCAAGTTTCACTGATCATGGGAGAAGAGAAGGTGTAACTAGTACACAGAACTCACCCCCGTGTGTTCCATGCTGGGGGATGATCAAGGCAGGAACTGACCTGGGAAGCTGTGCTCAGAGATCTGCTGGCTATTACACCCGGCATAATGGGAATGCATCCGTGCTGGACATTGCTGCAGGAGCCCCCAGGATGCAGCCCCCAAGGGTGGTTGTGGTGCTAAACTTCAGCAGCCTCTGGAGAGTGGGATCCAATGTCAGATCATGGAATCCAGACACGTTGCTTGTTGCTCGCCGTGAGCTTGGGCTGGTGTATAGGCTCCAAGGTGATAGCAGCCTTCAATTACCTGAAGGGGGGTTCCAAAGAGGATGGAGCTCGGCTGTTCTCAGTGGTGGCAGATGATAGAACAAGGAGCAATGGTCTCAAGTTGCAGTGGGGGAGGTCTAGGTTGGATATTAGGAAACACTATTTCACTAGGAGCACTGGAATGCGTTACCTAGGGAGGTGGAGGAATCTCCATCCTTAGAGGTTTTTAAGGCCCGGCTTGACAAAGCCCTGGCTGTGATGATTTAGTTGGTGTTAGTCTTGCTTTGAGCAGGGGGTTGGACTAGATGACCTCCTGAGGACTCTTCCAACCCTAATTTTCTATGATTCTATGATTCTCACTTTACCACCTCCGCTGCTGCTTGTGCTTTGCTGGTTCGGGGACTAGCCAGGCACCTAAATGCGAGAGCCAGTTGAAGGAGCCCTATTATTTTTGTGGGGATTTTTTTAATTTGTTTTTTCCCCAAAATTTCCTGCAAGGGGAAAAAAAATCAGTTTTTCAATGAAAAATACAAACGGACCCTTTCCCCCCTTTCCAGAACCTATGGTTTTCAAAAACCAGTGTTGGGTTAAAAAAAAAAGGCTTTTGAAAACTGCAAGTCTAAACTTTTTACCAAAAACTTTTACCAAAACTTTGCCAATTTTCAGTTTTTATTTTTTAGTGGGAAAAATGAGGAATTCCTACCAAGAAGAAAATGTTCATTTGGATCAAAATGCCATTTTTCATGCAAAAAGTGAATCGATGAAAAAGTTTCAACCATCTCTCTACTAAATTCGACGTTATGGCATTATTTGAAAGAAGAAAGAGCCCTTGCTGGAATCCCCAGGGCTGGGGCTGTTGTGTGGCTTGTTTCTCTGAGCTCACTGCAAGCTGGTCCTCTTGGTTTTTCAGTGCCCCTTGGCATCATCGTTCTCACCATCTCATCTCCGCATGGGACATTGCCCAGGGTACAATCTGGGCTGCTGAATAGCGGTGTCTCCTCAGTTCTCTGGCCTCGGATGCCTTTTACACTGCTTTACTGGGGAACAGCCATTCCTGGTAACACCCAGCCTCCAGCGTGTAACTTGCTCCTAGCTACACAGTGTTGAGTGCTACTAGCTTGCCACTCATGAACTACACCGCAGAAGAACCCCCAGCAGATTCTCTAGTCCCAGAAATGTGCCTCTTATATTGCCCAGCACATTACTGGACAAAACAAGCTCATCGGAGATCTGTCATTTCATCAATGGACAATGCTATGTACCAGCCTTGTTATCCCAAACACACTGGTTAGATAAAACAGTGAAACAAGTTTCTTAGCTACAGAAAGAAAAGAAAGATTTTAAGTGACTACAGGTAATGAGGCATAAAAGTCAGGATTGGTTACAAAAGAAATAAAAAGACAAAACGCAAGCTAAATGCCTAACTTAATTTTAAAATAAGTGAACTTAAAAGTAAAAGGTGTTTCTCACCATAAGTTTAGGGCAGTCTGTTCTATCCGAAAAGCCTCTCAGGCAGGACTCTGCCCCCTGCCCCAAGTTCAGTTATTTAAGAGTTGTTGTCATGAGCACAGATGAAGGAGGAGAGTGAGGTTAAGTGTTTTTCTCCCCTCTTTATAATTCAGTTTCTTGTGCTGGAAACATGCTTGCAGAATCATGGTGACAAACAGTCTCTTGTGGACGTGAGGTTTGAACCATCCTTGTGATGAAATGCAAAATTCTTGTTCACACCTTCCCCAGAGAATGGCTGCTTAAGCAGGTGATAGTCCATTAACACCTGCTTGGGGGAGCCAGTGTGTCTTTGTCTCTGAAAACTGGTTTGGGCTTCCTTTTCTAACTTGGAATATGTTACAGCAATGTTGTATAGTAAAATCTTGTAACTTTACATACAATGTTGATGCACATGTTTTACCAGAACAACAATGTTCAGCGGATTATGAGTTTTTAAATGATACCTCACCAGACATACTTTGTACAAAATGTATCATAGTCTTGTAAAAGTGGTGAACATAATGGTAGAAACTGTCACACCGTGTTCTCTGTCCATAGAAAGAGCGAGAGAATGGCTCCAACCTTGCGTTCATGTTCCGGCTCCCGTTTGCTGCCGGCAGAGTGTTCAGCATTAGCATGTTGGATACATTACTCTATCAGGTGAGAACAAGCTAACAGGTTATGTGGCATTGCTGTGAATGCTTCAGAGGGCTAAGCTGCTTCTGTCTTGCAGCTGCTGGTGTATTAGGGTGAGCAGGGCCAGCTCCAGGCACCAGCTTGGCAAGCAGGTGCTTGGGGCGGCCTCTCCGGACAGGGGCGGCAGGTCCAGCTATTTGGCGGCAATTCGGTGGACGGTCCCTCACTCCCGCGCGAAGCGAAGGACCTCCTGCCGAATTGCCACCGTGGATCGCGATCGCGCCTTTTTTTTTTTTCTTTCTTTTTTTTGTTTGTTTGGCTGCTCCAAAACCCGGAGCCGGCCCTGAGGGTGAGGGTGCTGAACAGGCATTCCAGAACCATATCCGAGATGGGGTCCCCATCCAGAGAGAGGTCTTACCCTAGTGCAAGGGTCCCTTCCTTTCAGTCTTCTGTGTTAGAGGATTCAGGTAAAACCTCCCAGAGATTCCCCAGGCATTCATTGCAATCTCACTCATCCTCAGGACCCTGTTTGATAGATGACTAGAGCCCAAGTGGGGTAAATTAGGACATGGCAGCTGTGCCCATCAGCTTCCGCAAGGGAATGTCTGCCAATTTAAAGCAAAATAGAAATGGGGACATTTGGAGAATAGACAGGCCTATAGGTCCAGCCCTTCCATCACCTGTCTCACGCACGCTAATGAGAGGGCCCTTCCATTTCTGCCATCAGCCTCCTTGCTCTACACACGCTTTCTCTGCTCCTTTAGTACCCTTCTCTAAAACTGTGTGGCATGCCCCAGGTTCTGCGTGTGGCCTGGTACGTGGTACGTGTCTAGTTTAGGGACCCTTGATCCATTCGGATGCACATATTACTCTACATTGTGCCCACATTATATCCCTCTTCAGGGCACATTTTACTTTCCTCTTGTTAACGATGTTGGTTTCCTGTATTTTAGAGAATCATTTAAAAACCGAGTGCAGCATGAGTTAAAAAGAATAAATCCACATGCTGTTTTCCCTCTAAGGAGAGGAAGAGAGAGAGAGAAGGAAGGAGTCACATGTGGCAGATATTAGTCACATCACTGAATTCACCTTTGGAGTGTGCCCAGATACCATGGTTGTGGGCGCAATATAAGAAGCAAATAGAAGAGAATATAGAATATAATCTCACCGTCTTTCCAGTTTGTCAATACATTGGTACATTAAAGTGAACAGTTGAACAAGTGAAACCTTTTCTCTGGCCTGATCTCGCTCTGAATTTCTCCCGTCAGTCGTTTGTGAAGGACTACATGATCACCATTACGAGACTGCTGCTGGGCCTTGACACCACCCCGGGTTCTGGCTACCTCTGTGCTGTAAGTGCTAATGTTGGTCTCTTTCAAGCTGTAATACAATGGGGGTCACACGTGCATGCGGGTCTGCGTGTGAACATTCTGTGGGGACTGAATCTGGGACTTTCAGCCCCCAAGCACAGGCCTCTTGAGCCACAGTAAAGAAGAAAGTCTGTCACTGAATAGCAGACTGTTGTAGTCACTGGGGCTGGCCTCTAGAGGGAGACAAAAATCACACCAACTTGGGCAGTGTATTGGTTCCTCCATGTTATGTTCAATAAGAGTTAAGGGTAGAGCTGAACCTTACAACAACCTCCGTCCCAAGAGAGTTCGACAGGAACCTCACACAGCCTCCCTGCCCTTCCTGTGGGATCAAACCAAAGCCCGGGGTCTCAACAGCCCTGAGCCTTGGAGAAGTTCAAAACAGGATCCAAACTCTACAACTTTGGACCTTATCAAGACAGGATTGCCCTGTTGCTGAGGGGTCCCTTCAGTGATAGCAAAGAGACATTTTTCCCCCCCTGTTGGTCAGATGAAAATCACTGAGGATGACCTGTGGATCCGGACGTATGGCCGTCTCTTCCAGAAGCTTTGCTCTTCCAGTGCAGAAATTCCCATTGGGATCTACAGAACTGAATCGCACATGTTCTCAACCTCCGAGGTAAGAAATATAGGGGTTAGAGAGTGCAGAAAACCTTACAGGCTGCAGCCCTGGTGTGAAAGGTCCCAGCAGAGATAAGTCACTGGATAACATGTAGAAGTACTTCCAAAATGTGTGCAATGGCGTCAGTCAGTCTGGTCCCTTGCACTTCGGGTGACCAGATGTCCCAATTTTATAGGGACAGTCCCGATATTTGGGGCTTTTTCTTATATAGGCTTCTATTACCCCCTACCCCATCCCGATTTTTCACACTTGCTGTCTGGTCACCCTACTTGCACTGTCAGCTCTGACCTTGTAGCTGTTAGTGAACTGCGTTATAGTAACAATCATGTCTAGCCAGGCAAGGAGAAATCCCATCTGAGCAGCTGATGGAGTAACATTTCCATTAAAGGACCAGCTGGGCCAGGCTGCCAGCAGCCAAAGGGGGCTCCTGATTGATAAGCAGTGGGATTGAATGGGGCGGGTGTAACAAATTTGCATGCACTAGCCCAGTGTGAAGCAGGTAGGAATGCGTACTGGAAAGGAGGTTGGCGCACAGATTCCATGCTCTTCTAATTTCTACATGGCACAAGGGTATGTGGGAATGTTCCTTTTGTTAAAGGACAAAGATGCACTGGTGGCAGAGGTGTTTGTGTTTGTACAGCCCCTGGCCCAAGGGGATCTTGTGCGGTGCGGGGGCTCTTAGGCACTACCACAATCCCCATTTATTTAGTATTGGCACAGAACTAGGGCAGGTGGGGCTCATCAGCCATGGTAGGCGGCCACCTCGCAGAAGGAAAACTCCACGTTCAATCCAAGAACCCCAGACCCGGCCAACCGGTTTGTAAACGTTGTGCCAGTCGCACCTACTCTGTGGTCTGCACCGCCGAGCCTGGGTAACCAGACGAGGTGAAGGTGAAGCAAGCACTGGCATAGAAAGTAATGAATGCTGTTTGGAGTTGGGTAATCGTGGGAGCCTCATCTTGCCACTGGCTCATTGTGTGACCACGGACAGGTTAACAGCCTTCTGTGCGGTGCTCTGAACCGGGAACATGCCATAGAAGCCGTGATTAATTATTATGATGTGTTACCTCTGGACATGTTTACAGATCTTAAACAGTGGCTCAAGAAAGAGAGAGTTAGGATGCGATGGACACTCAGTGATACATATTCACCACTAACACATACTGCATCTTTATTTTGTTTTATTTCCAATGCAGCCTCATGACATCAGAACTCAGGTGAGAAACGTTTGAATTGAGCCTGTGAGAACTTTGTTACGATTTTGGTTTTCTTTAAAATGTAATGCACTACTTAATGTTCAACAAGGCAATGATGATCTACATCCATCACACATTGCTGTGAAAAATCCAGCGATACCCAGCATGGGCAGATAAGAATAGCTGGTTAGTGACTCAGTCTTAATTTTGAAGAGTGTTTAATCTTAAATACGAATTGAAAGCCATATAGAAAATTGCTGCAAGGAGCTGAAGGGTGGCAATTAGTTAAATCCAATCTACCCCTTTGTCAGAGGTGCTGCAAACCATGGCACTAGAAATGAATATATGCAATTCGGGTTTACATTTTATAATGGATATATGCTGTCGTATCTGTCGTGAGGATGAAAGGAAAACATGGAAGTTCAGCTGTTTGGCCATCATGAGATCATTATTCCATACAAACTTCTGTGCCAGTGATGTTACATGCATTTATTATTATTATTTTTAAATTCCAAGTTCACCATCTACATAGCTTCTAGTATTAGAAGGTTTTGGGGTGGAGGTGAGGTTCGGAGATGGGGAAATAGTCCCTTGGTGTGAATGTTAGAACACTACCAGAGAGTAGGAAAATGAAATGTCACCATCGAACTGTCAGGATCCACCCAGCATCATCAGGGATCCAGGAGGTAGCAGTCTCAACATGCCTATTTCATAATGTTGGGGGCTGCTGATTAGTTGGCCGTTGGTGTAAAGGTGTAGACCAAGGGTAGCTGATCACAATACTACATTGTCCAAGTAAGTACCTGGTCCTACAAGGAGCTGGGCACAGCCAACTCCAGTGGAGTCAGGTGTTTAGTGTGTTTTCAACGGAAAGGTATTTAGTGCATCCCCTTATGTACTGCTGGGACTTCCAGTCGCAGATCTCAATCAATGTCGAGGATTGCGAGGATACAAAAGATGTCAAGGAGCACTGGAACATCAAGACAAGCCATCACAGGAACTCCTGCTCGAGCGACCAGTCTGAACACCCCTTGCTACGGCGCAAAAGCATGCAGTGGGCACGCAGGCTGAGTCGGAAAGGAAACAAGCACACAAGCAAAACAGCGGAGTGGATCAGCCAGCAGAGGTTGAGTCTGTACAGGAGGTCGGAGCGGCAAGAGCTTTCAGAGCTTGTCAAAAACCGAATGAAACACCTGGGTTTACCTACAACTGGGTATGGTAAGTAGGTTTCGTTCTTGCTTACAGTTAATGGCTTTTCCAGCAATGCGCCCCTTTCACAAGCTGATCATGTATTTTAGCATCTAGCTGAACCAAACCAGACACGTTCAGGGTATAAAACAATTCCAAAATGAAGCCTGATCCTCTAACTTGTTCATAGCTCTGGATAGTACATTCAAACTCGGCACTCCCATCCACCTGCAGTCCTCTTGCCTTATAAATCCCACAGCACTGAGACGGTAAGGGGCTTGTTTTCAGACACTGGCCTTTATTTCAGCAGTGACAAATAGCTGTGTACACATCTGTAATATTTGCAGGTGCAATAAATATCTAAGTACCAGGTATAACAAGGGAAATAAATGTCTAAATGACCTAAATTACAGGTGCGAAATTTCACTCGTTAATTATTTGTGCCTGTAAAATGGATGACTGGCTAAGGAGAGGTTGAAAATATTGGCCCCCACTCTATCATGAAACTGACCGAAATCTCCATTTGTAATAGTTGCTAATGCTATTGTCTGAGAATTCTATCCCCTCGGGCAAAGAATGGAAGAAAAGAGCTCAGGCTGGTGCAATATCCTATCATTATATTTTTTTAATCCTTCAGCAAATTCTCGCCTAGAATATTTTTTCAGTAGCTATAGAGCTGAGTGGTTCACTTCGATGTGTGTAGAACTTAATAACTCTTTAATTATCTCATAGCTCTCAGTAAAGCACGTACTGTACGATATAATACTTTGGCATAATGTAAGAATCTCTCAGTGCAATGATTATTTCTTCTAAGCTATTTTAATTGGCTGTTAACCCAAGAGTGTCTCACACCATTTTTGGACAATAATCTATCCCTTAGTTATGATGAAATCTTTAGCCCACGGCGCGCTTGCTTGCTTGTCTTTCTTTTAGCCATCCTGTGCTGCTGCCTGTTTGCCTCCATGCTACAAAAGCTTCTACCCTTCATGTTCGGGAGATAGCTCCCTACCCACACTCCAAAGGGCATCCAGTCTCATACAAAATAATGCAAACCAAGAGCCATGTAACTGGAGCCTTAGGGCCAGGACCGTTGTGCATGGTGGGATTGTGGAGCTGGTGTGACCCTGGCAATACATTTCAGGAGGGATTTTAGATTTCTGGTCTCTAAGTTGTTTGCATCATTGCAACTTTTCAGACACATGGAAGAGAGGGGAAAGAACTTAGAAATAAATACATTTTGTTTTGGGTGGGGGGGTGGGGTTGAAAGGAAACAAAGATTTGCCCAATGCACCAGCCAGTTCCACAAGCCTAGTTAAGGAAGAAGGGACTCTTCACGAGCTGGGAAGTTCTACCGGTGGATGTGGCATTGTGGAGCATTTCTCCCTTCTCTCCTTCTGCTCCCTGCTTTTGGACAGTGTTCCAATGGCACACAGAGTTCATTTCAATTCCATGGTAGCTGATCAAACCAAGACGAGGAGAGGGGCTGGCTCTTTAGGCTCCAGTCCTGTAACTGACTGCACTTGGGCACATTCTGAGCCTGCGTGCAGAGCCTGGCTGAAATCATTGGTAGGGACAGAGCCTTACAGAGTAAAGTCTGAGTGATCACCAAGCATTGCTGTCCTCTGGATCAGAGGGCTACTAGAAACACGGAGACAAACCGCTACGTCTGCGTGACTATGTAATGACATTGTGTTGAACAGCCAAGTGGCTAGAGAGACAGCAGTGTTGTAATCGTCACGTCCTGTCACTCAAAGTGCTACCATCCCTGCATCTAGAGTCGACTGGAGCGGGCATCCCCACGCCAATTGGTTTACTGCGTACAAGATCTCACAGCAGGTCATCTGCTTATGTGCCATTGTGTCTACGGGAAACAGAGGTGTGTGAGTGGAGAGTTTGCAGTAAGAGAGGTTAATGATGTCCAAGTTAGTCTCTCGCTGGCAACATGCCAGCAATATGTATCATCCCTGAGCCTCTACAGCCAGAATTAGAAGTAGGAGCAATGTCCATTCTCCAGCAAGTTTGTTTCCTTAAAGAGCGGCAGAGGGATGTATAATGAAGGATCTAATCCAATATCCAATGAAGTCAATGTAAAGATTCCCATTTTAGCATGGTAGAATAAGTTTGAAGGATTGCCTCACTACATTCTTCTCAATCTGCTGTTCCCCCACTGTTAATAGCCCAAGACTTGCTGCTGCTTGTTCTGTTGAACTAGCAGCCCTCCTTCAGCCGGGGCTCAAAGTCTGCAGCATAGATGTTGGCGTTTCCTCCTCTTCACATGCAAATGCTCAAAGACTTACTATGGTAGATGATCACCAAGTTGTTGGCCATTGTACTAGAGCACTGGAGCCTTCAAGGCAGATCCAGAATAACTGACATGGGTTTAGTATAATTATGCCCTGGGATATTATCTGAGGGACAGCAAGAGCATGTGTCAAGTAGTGGAATAAGAGACCCAAGAGAACATGGTTTTTTTTTTAATATTAGACAAGCAGGAAAATTATATGTCCTAATGCAGAGGTGGGCAAACTACGTCCCGCGGGCCACATCCAGCCCATGGGACCGTCCTGCCTGGTTCTTGAGCTCCCGGCTAGGAGGCCAGACCTCGGCCGCTCCCCCACTGTCCTCCCTCCCCTGCAGCCATGCCGCCGCGCAGGCAGCACTCTGGGCGGCGGGGTTGTGCACTCCTGCCGAGCAGTGCAGCAGCGTGTCTGGCTCTGGCCAGGCGACGTGGCTGCCACACATGCTGCTCTGAACGGCATGGTAAGAGGGCCGGGGGGTTGGATAAGGGGCGGGGGTCCCGGGGGACAGTCATGGGACAGGAAGAAGGGGGGTTGATTGGAGTGGAGGTTCTGGGAGGCGGTCAGGGGATGGGGGACGGGGGGTTGGAAAGCGTGGGAGTCCCGGGGGGCCTGTCGGGGGTGAGGGTGTGGATAGGGGTCAGGGGACGGGAAACAGGGGGGTTTGGATAGGTGTGGGGT